TTAATTTACAATTTAGTATACTATTTTTTGTTCCACATTCAATTACTTAAAAAACTAAAAATTCACAATATTAATTAAGCAGCAGTTACAATTAATGAAGGGATTGAAGTATTAAGGCAAAAAGAAGCAATCGAGTAGACATTAGTTTAATGCCTTTCCAGCCAGCAGACACACGAATTGTATTAGCTGGCTTAGAGAATATTTAAAATTCCACTTATATAAAAAAAAAAAAAAAAAATACATTTAATATCAATTTGGCATTCAGAGGAATTTTAAGTTAATTCGCAGATTAAAGGATAAAAGCAAAGAGCCAAAGGACTTCACATTAGCTTGCCATTTCATATCAAAGCTGTCGCTCGCTCTGCACACATATTTTTCACTCTTGAGCGAATATATATATGCATTCAGAAATGCTCGTATTGCATCCATGGATTGGGCATGAGCGCAAATACCAGCAAGAGCAGCAGCAGCAGCTGCTGCAGGAGCAGGAGCAGCAGCAGTAGCAGGAGCAGGAGCTGATGCATCATTCCGCTGACAAAGTGTGTGAGGCGGCGTTAGATTTGGGTTTCGACTGCTCGTCGCTCGTTGTTGGTTTTGTTAAATTAGTTTTAATTGATGTTGGTTTTGCGTTTGCATTGCGAACCACTCGGGCATTACTTTATAACGTTTAATTAAGGCCCACACTTGCACTGTTTGACTTTGGTTGCACTTGTTTTAACAACATTTAAATGCATGCCAAAATTTGCGCTTAAACCATCAAATAAATATACATACATATATCTCTGTTATCGGTCGGCCGATTGGGGCGCTTGTAAATTTTAAATTTTTGGTATTTTTCTTGCGCTGTGATTGTGTTTGTTTGTATTCAGTATTCTGGCTCTTTTTTGTTTTATTTTGTATTTTGGAGTCGAGTGATTTGTTGTTCAACTTAGCACAAGTTGACAACAGCAACAAAAAAAGAAAAAAAAAAAACAGTAACAATAGCAGCTGCTCCAAAGGCAACAATGAGTGTGGGGCAAGCAGCCCCATTCGCCTGCCTGAAAGCTCGCACTAAAAAGCAAAAGCAAAAGCAACACTGCAAAGGCAAAAGCAAAAACATTGCCGTCGCTTGAACAAACAAAGAGGAGCTAAATTTGAAACGTTGGCAACGTTTCTGAAGCTGTCAATTGGAAGTGGGCTACAAATTATTTAGCTGCTGCTGAAATTGCTGAAAATGCCAAATTGTTCATGGGCAACTTAATGCAAGC